GTGCTATGTGAGGTGCTCGGTTTTGGATCTGCCTTCCTGACTCCCATAACCTGACGCTGTCTGTGGACAACAAAGGGGGTCTGTGGATAGTGACCTCACAGGGCGATCTGATCATAAATTCCTAACTGGGCAGGTCATGGTGAGTAGTCACTCCCCAGGCATGTAACTTTTGTAAATAAAGGTTTATCTTTGCCTTAATCGGGCCCCGTTCATTCTGTCCGTGCATCCGGGTTAACACACCTTTCAAATGCCTCTTCTCAGACCTCGCAGAAGCAAAAGTACCCTCAAGAGAGCACATGTTGTCAACGATCCTGTAATCTCGTCCCAGCCTCGCTTTCTCACACCTTCATATCATCTTCCTTATGTTCCCTCCTTAATTGCAAGTGTAGAAAACAAGTTGCAAACTATCATTCCAGGAAGCATTTTTCTCAGCCTGGTGGGATCTTGCTTCCAGGCGTATCCTCTGTTTGGCTCCAATAAATTTTTATAAAATTCTCTATAGGTCTGGCCACCCCTGTGGTAACTAGAAGTAAGGTGTAGCAGAAGCCAGAGCTCTGTGCGAAGGTGGCCTATCAGGCAGCATCACTCATCCACCTGGGGAAAAAGCAGCCCTGATGAGCCTGCCTGTAGGAGCCGTGACAAGGTATGCAGAAAGTCTCAAGTTGGAGGTGGGGAGGTGGCAGAGACAGTGTAGGGTTGACCTGGAACTTTGCAAATGTTCCTTTCTGCTACTGAAGCATGCCCTGGGCATCCGATCCATCACGCCGCCTCCCCAAGTCTTCCTGGGTCGCTTTGCCCGAATGGAACCTGGCCTGAGGTCAGCTGGGCCTTTCCTGTAAGATGACACCGAGACTGAAATGTGGAGAAGGGATCCCGGCCAGAAAGAGAAACCATCGCCCAGAATCTCAGCTTTACTGACCCCAAATGGCTGCGGGAGTCTGGTCTCCAGTTTTAAGTCTTGAAATCTCAGCTAGAGGCCTTTTCAATGTAAGGGATTAATTTGGCAGATCTGTGAGCCTTAGTCAAACATGGTTCTGTTCAGGCAAAAGAGAGAACCCCCTTCAGAAGGACTGTCGTGCCAATCGAGTCTTTATGGAAGGGGAAGGCTTTCAGGACTGCAATTTATTTTCACTTTGGGCTTGCCAGAAAAATCGCTCACCAGCCAACCAAGCATCAGGTTCTACTTAAATCAAAATCATTGTTCTGCGGGCCAACTTCCGAGCTATTGCGGGTAGTTGGGCTCCACATCACTGCAGCAAGGCGAGTGTTGTAATGGAGTGACTCACATGACTATTTTGGTTTCCCCGTGTACGTAAATATTATGTGGACACTATACTATAGTTTATTAAGTGTGCAATTGCATTATGTCTAAAAAAATAATGTGCATGCCTTCGTTTAAAAAAACTTCATTCCTGAAAAACGCTAGCCATCATCTGAGCCTTCAGCCAGTTGTAACCTTTTGGCTGGTGGAGGGTCTCACCTTCAATTTGTAAAAAAAAAAAAAAAGCGATATCTGGGAAGCACAGTAAAGCAAAGCATAGTAATAAGAGGAGATCTGCCCGAATTGACACAACCTCAGAAGGCCTTCTGGGAAGGGAGAAACAGGCTTTGCTGCAAGTGTTGGCCCCTGCCTGGCTCTGAGCAAACGTTGCCTCTAATTCCCCTCACAGCCCCGAAGGGAGGTTCAGAACAGGAGTCCCATCTTACAGAGAGAGAAACACGACGTGCGCTTATCGGGAGACTCACAGGGTCGCGTGCTCTCACTTACCAGGGGAGGCTGATTCGGTCCATCAGCCGATATAATACAACCGAACTTTGAAAAGTCACTTATACTCCATTGCAAAGCAGCGGGACAGAACGAAGGCAAGAAAATGATGCCTCTGTTTCTCTCCAGTTTCCCATGTTTACTACATTGTACTAAATTCTCAAACTCTCACCTTCTACCAGGTTCTCACAGCAGGGAAGGAAACAATCCTGCTTTATCCAAAAGCATAAGATGCAATTATTTTTGGATGTGGTGTAGCCAATGGTAGTGTTTATGTTTCTAGCACAGACCGTGCCAAAACATTGTGTATGCAGCCTGGTCCATAGATGGTGAGATAGACACTAGACAGACAGACTGACTGACAGATAGATAGAATGCCTGGGTGGCTCCTCATCCTCACGACATCTCTGTGGCATGTGCTGTGATCCCCCTGTTACAGCTGAGGCCCAGAGAGGTTCGGCACCTAGTAAAGGTCACACAGCTAGTGACCAGCAGAGCCCAGACCTGACCCCAGGCCAGGACCTGTGCTATCTGGTGGCCTTCAAAATACATCCAACACAGAACACACGCTTTGTATAGTGTGAGCACTTCATTTCTGCTAGGTCGACACTGAATTGAATTACACACTAGTATAACACACACTAAAATAGCCAGTAGTAAAAATATAAAAATAAAAAATATACCTGCATACTGTATATTTGTTCAAATGTGGCTGCTATTTGGCCAACTATTTCTTTTAAGGTTGGGGTCCCACAGTTAAATTTGTATAGGTTTCTAATTCCAAATTTGAGAGCCTCGACCTACTAAAGTAATTAAACAAGAAGGACAGTAGACTGAGGTGACCTTCCTGTCCTGGTGGCCCACGTCAGCGAACCACAATCCAGGTCTATAAATACCTCAAGGTTAGGAAGTCAAAATGCTCAGGATGAGCAATGACAAACAGCCGACTCGCTTCAAACGACAGCCCAGCTTTAGGCTCCTTTCCGCACTTTCTCTGCAACGGTCTCTTCCCGGGCGCCTGTCGGGGAGCGCCCGTGACCACTTCTGGTTTAGTGCTGCCAAATTCTAATGAATTTTCACTCAGATCAACTCTTAAAAGTTTTATATGCCTCAGTTTATCTTTTAACAGCCCCCAAGGACACAGTTAAAAAAATATTAAAGAAGACAATTTAGATGATATAAACGCCATTTAACACCCCAGGAAGCAGACAACTGCCGTTAGGAGAGCAGCAAAATGGGGGAGAAGGCAGGAAGCTTTTCCAGGATTAAAAACAAAAAAAAAAACAGGCCCTGGCCGGGTGGCTCAGTGAGCTGGGCATCATCCCGGGCAGCAAACTGCTGCAGGTTCCATCCTCGGCAGGACCCACGCCTCGGGGACAGGTTCGATCCCGGTCTGGGCTCATGCGGGAGGCAGCTGATCGGTGCTTCTCCCCCTCTCTCGTCCTTCCTCTCTCTCTAATATCAATAAACATATATTCAGGTGAGGATTTAAAAAATAAAAAGTAAACAACAGGAAATAAGTGCAGAGCTAGGTTTTGGCCTGCGTCCGGGGGCTGCCTGCCTGGCTAGACCGGGGTTCAGGTCAGGCACAGACAGGGTCATGCAAGTCAGTCAGTGGCTCTGCTTTGCTGACTCGACACCCTGGCAGGAGAAGCTGCCCCTGGAGCCTAGAAATTCGCTTCCACACCATCAGAAGCTGTGGGGTGGTGGGCGGGGGAGTGCTGTGATCACCGTGGGCCGAGCAATGGAGCCACCAGGGCATTTCTGGGATCTTCTGAGAGGGCCAGGCTGAGTCTGTGAGCCCTGCTGGCTTGCAGCCTCCATGTCTGCAGGCTCTAGGGTCCTCCTGAAATTCCTGTGAACCCTGGTAAGTCTGAGACCACCGCAAAGCGACCACTAAAAAAAAAAAGTGTTCTCTCTCAAGATGGGGATTTTCTCATAAAACGTATGGTTTAATGGCATTGCAATAAATTTTACTTTCCCTCCGCCATCTGTTTCTGTTTATTGAGCACCTACTACCTGCTGAGGGATTAGACGTGAAGGAGAACAGGAATGCGCATCGCTGGGAAGCCTGTACTTTCTCACTTACTGTATGACACCAGCAGGAGACACACAGTGTGTCCGACTCCGGTAGGGCTAGCGTGGTCTTACGGATGCAGCAAACTGAGGAAGGGGTTCAGGTCCTCCGATACACAGGAAGGTGGACAGAAGCTTGGCTGAGTTGGAATCAGAAGCAAAGCTGCTCATCTCACCCACATCCTCGATGCTGACCCAGTGCAGAGAGCCTAGAGCCAGTCCGCTGGATTCCTGAGTGCTCCGAGTCACATCTGACACCAGACAAGCCAATGTCACTAAAAGGAAGGTCAAATTCCTATTCTGAGAGACGTAAAGGTGTTCAAATGTTATTTCAATAGAAATAAGTCCATAGTCCTTTCAAACAATTTAATGTTAGCCTTGCAGATGGTGTAAAATTATTTGCATATTCTAACCCCTGTCTGTGTAATTTCTCTAGATTTTAAAGCAATGACTTTTAAGTTGGCATTTGTATTGAGCCTTATCATGAGCCAGTATGTACAGGACCAGACTTTTCCATGTGTGCTTAATTATAGTATTGCTCGATAACCAAAATCAATTAGACTTGAAAATTTGAAAATGGAGACGTGAAAATACGTTTTTTATATTATAGAATACAGTACATTAAACATCTGAAACTTACTGCAGAGTTTTAAGAAACATGGTAAATATTGAATAATTCAGATCTTCAATGGCCATAAAGCCATGTCAACCCAAGTACTTTATGATATCAAAAATGTTTACATTTATTTACTAATATGTATCATAACTTTCTAAATAAATCCTTGTCATATAGTAAGTATTTAATAAGTATTATTTTGGTTCACAGGCTGACACTCAATCCACTGAGCCACACCAGCTAGGCATATCTTTTTTTAAATGTCTAAAAATAAGGAACTAAAACCTTAAGATATGTGTTTTTAGTTAAAGCTGTTCAAAGAATAAACATTAACTGCTCTGGAGGTGACCTTCCTATTTCCAAGAGCAACCCTGTTCTTTCTCTAGCAAAGATGTCCCCTCCCCTGTTCCACTTGCCAGAAGCTCCTCAGCCTTATCCCCACTCCCCCCTCCTGCCCCCTGAACCCCCAGCAGCTTTACACTGTACATCCCACCAGGCGGACCATCCTGAGGGACTGGCGAATGAGCAGAGGGCTACCAAAACAAGTCCAGGGCAGGGCTTCGAGATGCCCTCCCGTGTGTGGGCCCCACAGCCGGGCGCAGAGGGCCAGCTGCCCTAACACTGCCTTCCCTGTGCTGAAGGCTTTCCTTGCTCACCCCGCTCCAGGCTCATTGAGTGAAGTGAATGAACCACGTTGATTCTTCTACAGTGTTTCTGTGTCTCTGCGGCCTTTGATGGGGACAGGTGACTCACTCCAGACCCGGTCAGAGCTTTCTACATCTTGATACCATCTAGATGACTAATGCCTACGACACCTGGGGAACTGGGCAAAGGTGCTGTTTGCTCAGACCACACTCACTCTAAACGTTTTCTATTACTTCCTGGAAGAGAAACCAAAAGTTGGTGGTGACCCCTGGCAGCTCTGTCTCTCTCTCCTGGAATCAAAGGTGTTACCCTGTTCACACTAGTTGGCTGTAATTAAGCTGTCTTGGTGCCTACTTGGGGCTGAAGGCCACAGGGTGTCAAATTCACTTGTTCAGAAGGTGGGATGTTTGTTTGACTGTGACCTCTGGCCCAGAGCAGCTTCATACCTGCTGCTCTGATAAAGAGCTTGAAGCTGAATTTCAATCACCTTTGTTCCATTCATCAAAGGGAACGTTCACCATAATTGTAATTACTCCTGTCAGTGTGTCGGGGCTGCTCCCGAAACACACAGCCTCTCACAGAGTACAAAGGAGCACTGTGCAAGCCACCGCCCTGGGAAACAGAGGGACAAACACACCATTTACAGCTGTGCCCCCGGCCCCGCCACTTCCCTTTGGCTGTGCGTGGCCATCGAGCGTGGACCGTGTTTATTTCACAAGTTGAGACTTCATTATGAGCATAATTAAATGCAGGGGCATTTGCTTGGTGTTTAAAAATCAAGCCACAAATAAACATTGTCCTGGGGAGAGGTCCCTGGGCTATAAGAGAAGAAGCCTCGGGTCCGGTCCTCAGTCCATCCTGCTGACCAGTGGACACACCTCAGAAAGCCACGCTGTCCCACGGGGCCCCTCCATTTTCTCATCTGAAAAAAAGTGAGGAGATTGGATACATCAGAGCAGCGGCTCTCAAAGTATTTGCCAGGAGCCGCAGGGTCCCTGAGCCTCCGTCTGCGGATCTGCGAGGTCCAAACGACTTTTGTAGGTGGCCTTTTTCACCCTTGCTCTCTCGGTGGCATTTCCCAAGAGGCTCCGTGACACTTGCGACGGCCAAGGCTAGAATTCAGGGGCAGATATGAGAACCCTGATTTCTGCTGAGCCACGCTTTCAGAAGAATTACAAAAATGTAAACAATGCCATGCTTTGCACTAATATTTTCTTGTTTTAGAGCACAGATTTACTTTTTCACTTAAAAATGTTATTCCTGTAAACATGTGATAGGTTTATCGTCATGATTTTTTAATGTTTATTGATTTTTGAGAGAGAGAGAGAAACATCAACGTAAGACAGAAACATCAATAGGCTGCCCCCCATGTGCGCTCCAAGGGGGATCTAACCCCCATCCCAGGCATGTGCCCTGACCAGGATTCGAACCCCTACCTGACCTTTCATTGCACTGGATGGCACTCCAGTCAACTGAGCCACACCAGCCACGGCTCTAGTCATCGTCTTTAATGAATAAATATTTTCAATGTTTTGATGTTGTGATTTCTAATATGGTAAAAACTGATAAGACTCCATGTAAGCAAGACATTTTAAGAATGTCAAAGAGTCCTGAGACCAGAATGTGTGATACCCACAGCACGTGGTCATCTTTAGGGCCCTTTGTCATTCGGTAACTAGAACTTCCCTTGCCTGGTTCTCATTTCTTCTCTTTCTCCCCATTGCATACTTACTGCCATTTTAACGACGAAGACTCTACTTATGTGTTACTCTTATTACTTACTGTGTGTACTCCCCGACTCTCATGTAAAGTCCACGAGGGCTGGGTGCCAGTTTGGGGCATTCTTGTATCCTAGGCCACCTAGAACTGGGGTGGCGCAGAGCAGGCCCCTGGGAAATATTTGTTCATGGAAGTGAGGAGGGGGGAAGGACACAGGACTTAACTCTTCCAGTATCTGTTTAATCTTCAGTGCGGGTTGCACTATCTTGTCACATGACTCTATTATCTGACCCCCAGAAGGCAGCCCCTTCTCCAGCAGAGCCCAGGAGTATCTGAGTCCCCGGGAATTGGTATTGGCAGAGAGCCTGTGTCCAGTTGACCCTGAAAGCTTTGGGGACACCACTTGCCCATGCACAGGTTGCTGGTAAATGACTTCAGAGCCCTTCAGAGAAGCTTAGCAGGAAGGCTCAGCCCCACAGGGTGGCGGGAAAGCTCTGGGTGTGCGACCAGATTCAGGCCTTGGAGCCAGCTGGGAGCCTCTAAATGAGATCTGGCAACACAAGTCAGGCCCCACTGACCACACTTGGAGTGTTTCGGGCTATGCCAGGTGTGCCCTCTGAGGGGCTTCCACTGCTTTTGCTCCTAGTTGGCAGTTAGGGAGCCATGATCGCAGACCAGGCCTTGCTGCCCGCTCTGGACATCTCCAGGAACAGAGAGGTGGCGCTGTGCTCAGCGGGCCAGGACCCTCGCAGGCATGGAGCTGGTGGGGCCCATCTTACCCCCAGCCTCTCCAGCCTGGAAGTAACCATCCGCCAACTCCTCTAAAAGATCCTGGTGCTCCTGCCAGGGACGCTCAAGGCCTTGGTGAAAGGGGAATCTTCTGGGCCTTCAGGAAGCTGAGCATCTCTACAGAGAAACAGTCAGGCAAGACCGACCATTACAGCCCAGGAATTAAGACCCAGGAGTCAGCTCAGAGAGCCAGCAAGGTTACTTGAGGATAATGTACAAAACAGGGCCTGGGCCCCAGAGTGCACCCACTAAATTGCAGTGACAACAGTCTCAGTCTGTTCAGGCTACAATCACAGGACACCACAGACTAGGTGGCTCATCAGCAGCGGGCACTTGTTTCTCACAGTTCTAGGGGTTGGGAATCTGGGATCAAGGTGCCAGCAGATTCAGTGTCTGGTGAAGACCCAGTTCCTGGTTCCTACACGACCTTTTCTAGCTGTGTCTGTACATGGTGGAAAGGTGCAAGGGAGCCTCCTGGGCTTGCTAGTATAAGGACAGTAATCCCTTTCTGGAAGGCTCTTCCTTCGTGACCCAATCACTTCTCAAAGACCCCGCCTCCAAATACCATCATATTGGGGGGTTAGCTTTCAATATATGAATTTGGGGGCCACACAGACTTTCAGACCATAGCAATGATTACAAAATGTGCTCAGTAAATTTCTGTTCTCTTTTCTCCTGTCTTCCCTTCCCTTGGCTGGATCTTGGGGTAGTTGGCGATGGGGAATGGGAGAGGAGACTGGTAATGCAGATAGAAGTCATGCCAAGCAATTTGGATTTCATTTTAAGAGCAGTGCAGAGGCATTGAACATTTCTAAGCAGGGAAATAATGTAATTAGAGCAATGGATTAGGAAGCATATCTGGCTGCCTGGTATAGGAGTGACTGAAAAGAAGCTATCAGAAGGAGGGCCTCTGATATGAAGATGACTGCCAGATGCTGTTGTGCCAATGAGAAATAAGAAATTGATTATTTAAAAAATTTAGGACCTTGGATTTACAGGTCCTGGGTCAGGATTATTTGGAATGGGCAAAAGAGAGAAAAATCTGGGGACTGCCCCTGGTCATCTGGAAGATAACCCAGATGATGAGTTTATATCAGGGATGGGTGTGGCTGAGCCTGCTGGATTCATTCTCAGCACAGGCTCTTCCAGCTAAAGACTACATTTCCCAGACTCTCTTGCAGCTATATAAAGTCATGTGACGAAATCCAACTCAAAGGGAATGAGCAAACTGCAATTCTGAATAGTGCCCTTACTGGGGAAGGCCTCTGCTTCTCTTCCATCCTTTCCCAGGGAGAACCATGGACATGGTAGTGAGCCATCTTCATCCAGGCAGATGAGCACATAACAAAATGGGAGGAGCCTAGGTTCCAACCTCACTGGCCACCAAACCAGCCTCAGACCACCGAGGAATCGAGTATTATTCTGGAGAACAATAAACTTCTATCTCATCTAAGCCTCCATGTCTGTGGTGTCTTGTTACTGACATGTTGTATCCAATTGCTGTTCTCTGTGAAGGGCAGACCTGTTTGCTTTTTCTGTATTTTAAGTGACTGGGAGGTTGAGAGGCTGAATCTCTGCGCCAAAGGCTGTCGGAGTCACCAAACTCTGCCCACAAGCTCTGCATCCATCAGTGGTGTGAAAAGCACCTGCTAGGTATCCAAGGCTCATGCCAGCTCAGGGGCAGAGGCCGTTTGGTTTCCCAGCATGTATCTGAGCAGTAATGGGCACCTCGAATCTGCTCTCACAGGACGGGGTCAGGACACAAACCCGACAGTGAAGGCCTTGGAGTCACCAGGATTTTGTGGAAACCAGTGGTATCGTGTGACCCAACAGGTTTACTGGAAAAGCAGATAAAGTGAGTGTGACAGATGTCTTTATTTGTTCTTCAGCAGGATATTCCCCACAATGTCTTGTATCTTCATATTAATTATGCAAAGAGAGTTATTCATCCCAGGGCTACCGCCACCCGAGGGAGAGTTCTAGGACATACTACGGGCTTTGCCTTAGTCATTATTTGTTCAATGACTCGTTTATCAAATTTGTAGGTGATCAAAGCAGTTAGTAATGGAAGATACTTTGGAGAACAAAACTCAGTAGTCATAAAGATCTGAAAGACTGGAATAATGCATTGAATCTAGCGAAACGCATTCATCCATTCACTGAACATATTATACTAACACCTAGAGCAGGCCAGATGTTGTTGATGGTGCTGGGTCACAGCAGTGAACAAGATGGACAAGGGTTCCACTCGCACTGAACTTGAGTTTTAGTATACCGGAGAACTGGACAGTGAAATCAGATAAAAGATAAATTTATGAGAAAATGGTGCAGTGATCAATGCTAGGAAGAGCATTGTCAGCATGGTGTGATGGTGGTAGAAAGGTGAGCCACCTTCTGATTGGGGGACACTTGTCCTGGATGATGATAAGGAGCAGCCGGGCAGACTCGGGGAAGAGCATTCCAGAGAATCACCAGGGCAAAGGCCCTGAGGCAGGAGTGGCGTTGCAGGAGCAGACCGAGGCTGGTGCGCTGGAGTACAGTGAGCAGGGAGAAGAGAGGGCAGAGAGGAGCCAGGCCAGGTCTTCTGGGGCTTCGAAAGGAGTTGGGGCTCTATTCTATGTGGAAGGAGATGCTTGGAGAGGATTCTGAGGGGAGACGTGGCATCACCAAATTGATTTTTTCAGAGACCGTACTGGCTGCTGTGGAGGAGGGATAACAGGGGACTGGAGCAGAGGGGTGTTCACCAGTTAGGAGAGCGATGCCTGAACGTCAAGGGGAGCAAACCAGTGACAAGAACACAGAAGTAGACGAAGGGAGACATGAATAGATTTGAGACGGGCTATGGAAGCAGAGTCCAACTGATCTGCTGAAGCTTTGTGGGGCTGAGGGAGGAAGAGAAGTCAAGGGCGGCTCCTGGGATCTTGACCTGAGCCGCTGGTGAAGGGTGGTGCTGCTACCGGAAAGAGGAACCTGCTCTTCATCTCCACCATGGACTCATGGGTCCAAGCCACCCTCGTCCCCTACCTTTATTCCTGCTGCAGTCACGTGGCTGGCTTCCGGCTGCCACCCACCCTGTCCCCACGGTCTAGGATGGCGTATAAGATCAGCAGCAAGGGCTCCACACGAACACTCCCACACACTAACAGGTGGGTTGGAAGGAAACCTCAGTGTGGTTCATACACAGAGAAGAGGCAGACAGGTGGTCACTGTGTGAACTGCCCTTAGACGACAGAACTTGGATGTGCTTCTGACCAGGGAGGGGACAGAGGACACAAGGCAGGGAAGTCTGAACTGAAGAAATGAGACTGAGGCTGGAGCTCCACCCAGGAGACCAGAGGTGGCGGGGCAGGGAGGGGGCAGGGTTCTGGTACAGAGCACAGCAGGGACCACGGGGCTGCCAGGACCCAGCAGGGA